GGGCAGTCTCCTGAGTGCCAACAGCTAATCAGCGACATAAAGACAGAGGCCCAATCTTTCAAAAAGTTGCAGAAGCAAAGAAAACTTGAAAAGCAGGAGAGGCTCCTTCTTCAAGCCCAAGAGGACAAGAGACAGCAGTCTCACAAACTGTCCCAAGCCCTTAGAAAGCTGGCCCCATGGAAACCTGCTCAAAGGGTCAATCTCAGGGATTCAGCAGGTGAGCCCCTAGATGCGAAGGCCTCGGCAAGTGCGATGCGAGAGTATTCGAGTCACATCTTCTCCAAGGGATCTCCCCTGGATCCGGTGGCAGCCAGACCACGAGAGGCTGTCAATGCCTCGCAGGTGGCCGAGCAAATAAAAACAATTCCGGTGGGCAAGGCGGTTCCCAGCATGTCGGCCCCGGTCTCGGCCTGGAAGAGCTTAGCGCCTGAGGCTCATGTGAAGATCGCTGATCTGATAAACACAGAGGTTTCTCAGTCAGATATCTCACCGTACTTGAAGGACCCCAGAATTGCATGGATTCCAAAGCCGGGTAAGCCAGCTACAGCTATGAAGAACTTGAGGCCCATAGGAGTAATAAGTGTTCCAGGCAAAGTGCTTGCAGGTGCTGTCAAGACTCGCATAGCACCGGCACTGCAAGAGCGCTCACAGCTTGAGCCGCAGTTTGCATATATTCGGAAGCGAGGGGTGCGAGATGCCATTGCAAAAGCGTGTCAGCATCTGGATCTCGTGCAGGAAATGCGCCAAGAGCATCGCCGGGATATGCACAAGGCACAGCAAGGTCAGAGAAGGCTCCCATTGGCAGGGGCCTTAACAGTCTCCGTCGATCTGAGCAAAGCCTTTGACTCTGTCAACAGACAAGAGTTGCTTGAAGCCTTAGACAAGCTCAACATAGATCAAACCACTAAGGACTTTGTTGTACAACTCCACTCCTGTACATCGTACAACATGGGCACTAATGGGCTTGAGTTCAGTGTTCCTACTTCTTCGGGAATTAAACAGGGATGTAAATTAGCTCCTGCATTGTGGTCTGCCTTAACCTTGCTAGTCATGGACAGGATGGAGAAGAAGTG